CCCCCCCAATTCCTCTTGCCACCACCCCCTCCACTACCAATTTTCCATCATGATGATGATTTCAATCATCATAATACTTTCCAAATTTAGTTAGACACAAGAGGGAAAATTTGATTCCATTTGAAATTCAAATTTTGAATTTCAAAATCTTTCCAATTTTGGAATTCCTATTTAGGAAAGTTTTTATTCATGATTCTAATTTAAATTTAAAATAAATTGGATCTCCTAATAACTTTCCTAACCCGCCGGCCTCTTTTGATGGGCTCCCATTAATTGCCTGTTAACTCCCCTAGATCCCATTTGAAATTTGAAATTAATTTCAAATTGGATTCCCCTCCGCATTTACTCAAAACATGAAATTAATTTCATGTTTGGATTAAAAGCTCTATTCCCCTCTTAGTTTAAACTTAATTCTTCCCTTTAGCCGACCCCCTCCTCCCCTCTCTCTTCTCCACCTTGGCCGCCCCTCTCCTTGCTCCCTCCCTTGGGAATTTTGAAGCCAAAAGAAGAAGACAATGTACTCTCATCTCCTCTTCAATGTCAAATGGCCGATCCCGAGGTTGATCACGGGTTCGCTTACAACAATCGTGGGGAGATTGACATTATTTTCTCTCCTTTCTACGACCCCAATTGGGAATACGACGAGACGGCGGAAAGATACGTCAAGCACATCCTCTATTGCTTGGCACATACGATCGATCTTCAAAAGCCTAAGATGCCTTGGCTTCTCGTTGGGAGATCTACACCTTCCCCGTCCGCGGCTACCTCTCCACCACCGTAGACCTTTCCGTGGAAGACCATTGGCGTTGCGACCGTCCTCGTGGCATCATTGGGTGTGCTGAAGACCTTTCTTCGCTAAGCCATACTTTGAGTGTGAGTGAGCATGGTAACTCATAGTGAACTTTCTAAATATTAATCATGGGATTGTATTATAACATATTTGTTTTACTGTGATAATTTTAGATCTATCTTCAATTGTTCCAAACTTCTAATCTTGTAATTGCTTGCCGTAATAAACTTGACAATTGAGAGCTCTTTAATCTCGCCTTACAAAACATTATGCTTATAGTAGCAAGCATCGTAATTCTTTTAAATATTCCCGTGCAATTCTTGTTTGTTTCGCATCAAAACAGCCCCTAATTTGAAATTTCCCTCCAATACAAAACTTAATTATTATGTGGGTCCCATCTGCTTAGCCGCCCCCTCCCCTCTCTCCTTGGTTCCGCCCCTCTTGAGCCCGCCTCCTGTAGACCAGAACCGATCCAGTATGGACCATTTCAGTTGGTTCAGCCGGCCCCTTTTGGGCCGGTCTAACATTCATTATTGCACAGATGTACCAATCACTCGAAATTGCCTACTACAATAAGAATGTTTATCATTAAATCATATTGCATTATGCCTAGTGATTATTTCAATGAGTTTATTGGTTATAAAAGGAGGCCGCAAATCTTGTACTAGTTGACTTCTATAGCACTAAAATGATGGAGTACAAATTAGGTTTAAAAGCACACATAATGAATTATTGTACAAATAGATATATGTTATATTATAAGAATGACATCGCTGACAATGAATGCAAATATTATGATTCGCTAAGATATAAACAAAAAACTAAAAAAATAATATAAACATTAGTTCCCTTCAATGTATTGTATTACATACCTTTGTTCCCACAGTTAAAGAGATTGTATGGATCTATGAGCTTAATTGAGCATATGACAAGAACAAGATGTCTTATACCATCCATCAGATGTTGAATAATGAAAAAAAATTAATCAGAACTATTTAGATTTTGCTTCCAATATGTGGAAAATAAGATTTGGCTCATGTACAGATAGTTTTACTCTATATAGTTAGTCTTTTTAATTTACTCGTGCTTGTGAGTTATAGTTAAACCTTATAACATTCCCCTAGGATTTGCATATATGTTTCTTATAAAGATTATTACTAATCCGTACAATCCAAGGGATAAAATAGATATCTACTAATGGCCTCTAATAGATAAACTAAAAATTTTATGGGAAGAAGGCATGTTAACATATGGCATCACAAGAAAATAAAAGTTTCCAACAAGAGCCAAATTCATACGGATAATTAGTGGCTTTTCAGCTTATGATATGCCATCAAGGTGAGTGCTGCAAGGAAAGTTATATGCCCTTATTGCATGGAGCTATTGAAGGCGCTCACTATTATCAAATGTTCTTGTTGATAGATCATATATTTATAATAAATAATAATGCACTTAAAAAACATATAGAAATATGATGGGAAAATCTATTCATCCATCAATATAAGAATGGAAAAGGGTTTGAATGATACCCAAAATCATTGAATTGCCAATGTTAGCATAATCTAGGCTTCTAAATTATGATGTCATATATAATTGGATAAAGCATAGTATTTTTTAGGACCTACCCTATTAGAGAAACAATTTTGTTTGACATAATCTAGATGTGATGTATAATGAGAAGAATTTTTTTGAAAATATATTTAATATTGTAATGGACATAAAAAATAAAAAGATAAATTGAAAGTAATAATGGATTTAAAGGAGTGTTATAAATGAAGAGATTTGAAGCTCCATAAAATACACAATGGAAAGGTATTCAATCTTGAAGTCAAAAACACATTCACGTTAGAACCAAGAAAGACATGAATGAATAGATACAATCATTGAAGATGCTAGTTGGGCATGCATAAGATAAAGATGGTATGGCATTCTTCAAGAAATAATAAAATTATAGTATACTGGTGGGCATAGATGAAGTTTGTTCCTCTAATTGCCAATGGGTCGACCCTGTATCTAATTGAGACATAAGAGTGTTTAAGCAATGCAAATTACTGAGGAACAACTTGATAGAAGATATACAAAACTTGATACTATAATTCTAGCACAAGTGGTGCAAGCCTGTTGTGCCAACTATCCTGAAAGAATAAGAGACACAGTAGATTGGTCCAGGGGCGGAACCACGTGATGGCTAGGGGGGGTAATTGCCCCCCCTCAAAAAAAAAAATTCATTAAACTATTAATTAGGTATTTTTTAGTCTTTATTATAAGGGTTGGATTGATGATAGACATAATTTAAAGGTTGCTCATTAAGAAGAGAAGATGTCATAATACATAAGCCTGTTATCAATACAAACTTAGTTGCTAACTTGCATGATATTGATGGTGAATCCGAAGAGAATGATGGGTTTGTTGATGAAAACATGGAGGCAAATGAAGTTGAAGATGAAAATGAAGACGATAAGGAAGAGAGCCAAGCAAGTAAGGAGGGAAGTAATAAAGATAAGACACGAGTGTCTATTTCTTAAAAATAACATGTACAATTATAATAACTACAATTTTTATCTAAATAAATTTCATATGAAATTATATGATTCTTATTTGCTAGTGCAATTTTGTATTTTTTAGTAAAAATACCAAAATTTAGTTATGTTATATAATTTTAGTTAAAGTGTTTAATAGCTGTGCATTTTCTACATTAATGCAAAAGTGGTACATGATTTAATCCTAGATAATATGTCGCTTTTTGGTTAAATGATCAGGGGTCCAACAAATTTTTGCCAAAAATAACATCATTAAGTAGATTTTGATAATGAAATATTCTCTAGTAGTTGCCAAAGGAACATCTATATATACTTCCTAGTAAAATCTCCACCATAATTTTCAAGTTCAAGGTAATCCACATAATTCCAAAGAAAAAATCACAATCCGATGGAACTCTTGACAGACTATTTTCGCTGGAAATCAAACAAAAAAGCTATTTTTGAAAAAAATATATCTATTTCAAGAAGATTTAGGCGCAAGGAATATGCTATTTTCTTGTAATTAATTTGGATTCTTGAGTTGAAACAAATATATAGTCATGGAAGCCAACCAAACTCCATATCTTAAGCCTTTTGTTAGTTAACCAATAATAGATTATTCTCTAAGGTGGGACTTTAGCAACGCACATTGAAGCTCAAGATTTTCTACCAGACTAACCAAAAAAACTCCTAAGTCTATCATTCAGTTCAACAAGCCACAGAGTTCCGTACTCCCACAATCACAGGGAGTTCTAAGAGCTCCCTGCCCAAGATCACTGAATCCCTTGACAGTTCAAACCAAGCATATCACACTTGATAATTGTTCTCCGTGCAAAGAAAACCGCTCAACACCAAAACACAATAAGTTGAAAGAATCAACTCAACAATCAGATATGAAAAAAATGCTTAATGTAGAGTTGAAATACTACGTACTGGATGAGCCCGTGGCTCAATAGGGCCTGTTCTCTGTAGGACCAATCGGCTGCAAGACCTGTATCATGTTTGAGACCGGCCAAGAGCTCAAGATGGTGATCGCCGTTAGAACTTCCTTCCAACATCAACGAAGATCCACTGTTTAAAGAACCAGGGTTTCCAGCCAGCATGCCTGCTGCAGTATTAATCCCACCTGAACAATTAATCCCTCCTTGCACCAAACCAGCAGTGCTGTTTATTGTCCCAGTTTGAAAAGAACCAACATGTTGATTGCAAAAGGATGAAGGGAAGAGCCCATGTTGAAAGTTCATATTCGAATCTGCTGCCGTATACATCATCAAAAGATCTCAGGAACACAAATTAACCAATCGGATGCTCGCTTCCCTAAATCAGCCAATGTTTGCGCCAGTTCTGATATTTAACGGTCCTGGAACTTTGATCTTGTAGAAGTTGAACTAGTCAAAAACAGAGGCAAAAGCTGTCGTGATAAAGCTATCCAACCTCGTGAATTATACTAATGATTATAGACTTATGATCATCTTAGAAGATAAATAACAGTCTCCAGCGAACCTGAATTTGCAGAAACGGGAAAACATACAAAATCAATCAATATTTATTGCAGATTCTACACCAAGTCCACTCCCACTAAACCCACACAAGGACAAAATCTGTATTCGACGACAGTTGGACTTCAGTTCGCTAATCTAAATTTTTTTAAAAAAATGCAATCCTCGGAGTGTAATTGGCAGAAACAAACCCACAAAACCCCATACACAAACTTACATAATCCAATTCACCACGAGCTGAAGAATAATTCTTTCTTTACCCAATATAATATCCCTAGATAAATACCCACAACTAACCACAAGGAAAAAAGCAAAGAAAAACAAAAATGAAACCTGTCCGACTCTGCAGCAGCTAATTATCCTTCCTGGCAGAGAACTCCGAACCCTAACAACCTTTTCCACCTCTCAATCTCTCATCCACCCAGTTCTTCTCTGCTTCATCTGCTTCTATGCCTCTCCAACTGAATTGCAGATGAAGAAAAGAAAGCTGCCCTTTTGGCCTAAATAGCGCCGGTAAAAAGCAACAGATCTCTCGAAATTCGGTGTACAGTGGGATTCCCGATTCCAGCATTCGATGCCAATTATTGTGTGGAGGCTTCTCTCCTCCACCAATCTCTCTCACACACACGCCCGCTCACTCACTCTCTCTCTCTCTCTCTCTCCTCTCTGCTCCCACCACCTCTATTTATTTCTTTTCACTTACTCTCTCTCTCTCTCTCTCTCTCTCTCTCTCTGAAATCTCCACTGTTCAAACTTGCATAGCTTCGCTTTCTTCTGGTTTTCTGCAACTGGGTGAATGCCAATTGCCCGTCCCATTCCACTTCCAGGTCCCGCCGCTTTCGTTCTGAACCGTTAGGAATTACACCCTGTTCTTAATCTGAATTACGGAGATACCACTCCGCGGTGGAAGACGCCACCGCTTCGGTTGGCCAATAGCGAGGTTGGGTGAGAAATTGGGGCTTTTATTCTCTAGCTAAGAACGGACGGACGAGATCAACCGTACGGGGAATGACGTCATGGGAACCGATCGTGCGGCCCTGGTGTCCCCATCAAACACGCCGACAAAAGTAAAAAGAATTTTGAACCTCGGTACATCATTGCCCGGTGAACATATTCGAAAATTAATAATTAATTAATTAAAATTTTATTCTTATCATATCATAATTACTAAAGAAATAAATAAAATCTTACTGGAATTAAAAAGCTTCATTTTTTAATGCAGTAAAAATGATAAAATAATAATGTTAAAAGGAGAAGAAATTGGGGATCTATATAATTTAAGATTAATTGATTACAAATTTTGAGATATATTAATTTATCAGAAAAAAATATACAAATTATGAGAATATTTTGATAGGTCATCAAAAATTATCTTTGAAGCACTGTTTCTTTATTTTTCTTTTTTTTATATCTAAAAATATGATATATCTTATAATTCTTATATTTTTACTTTAACTACGTACATATTACATAAAAATATGCTAAGATAATAAATTATATAATTCTGTCACCCCATATTTCAGCACAAATAGGTATAATCTAATTTATGATTTATTTGAGATAGCATTTTTTATTGTTTTTTAAAACAGCTTTATAGTACAAATTTTTTAAAAATAAAAAAAAAAATCTATTAAAAAGTTAATTTAAAAAACAGCAAGAAAGTTGTCATAAGTGAAGGCTTCATTTTGGATGACTCTTTTAGGCTTCGTTGGCTTTCTTATTGCTTATTAAAGCAACTTTTTAATAAACAATATTTTAATTTTTGTATTAAAAAATTGTTTTAAGAAGCAGTAAGAAAGTCGTCCCAAATAAAATTTTAATGCTCTTTAAGGCAGCTTTTTAGTACAAAAATTAAAATTTTGTACTAAAAATTACTTTAAGAAGCATAAAGAAAGCCATCCCAAACGAAGCCAAACTCTTAGAAGAACAAAATTAATTTAAGTAATAATTAATAATTTTTTATTATCTTACTATTTTGAATAGTTTATAAAAAAACTCGTACCAATAGGCATTTAAGGAGTTTTTTTTTTTACAAATTCAATAGATGTAAATTAAAAAGTTTTATATAAATTTTTCATTGAGAGATTTAATTTACTTCAATTATTATATTCGAAGGTTAAAATAGTGAGATCAAGTAAAAAATTTGATTATTATAATGATATAATCATTTATCAATTTTTTTATTAGATGTTGTATTATGATCATTTATATTATAATAAGCATGGGCCCCATATAATAAATTAGAGAATTAAAATTTTGTTTTTTGAATAATTATATAATAATATTTAGTGCTGGAAGTTCTTATCCTTGGTTACCACCAATTCAACGACACAAACTTCAACTTAGGGGGTGTTTGGTATCGGATTTATTTCCCGTTTTAAATAGGATTTATAGTAAATCCAGCCAAACGCAAAAAAATGGTGCTGTAAATTCGGCAAATTCGTAAATCCAGGATTTGCGGATTTATGCCGTAAATTCGGTAAATCCTTGTAAATCCAAATCCCGTTTCTACTCGGATTTACGAGATTTGGCCGAAGAAGCGCGCGAAAGGGAGAAAGTTACCTTCACAGCGAGAGAGCGAGCTCCCGTCATTGCTTCAGATCAAAATGTTGTAATGTCTGATCCGACAGGAAGGGAATGTCGTCGAAGGAGCGAAGTCGAACAATAACGAAGGAGCCGAAGAAGCGACTCGTGCAATCTCTACACCTCCTGCGAAGCATCGAAGCCGAACAGCACGGACGAACGAGAGAACATTAAAAGCAAACCCTAGACGCCTCAGCCATTATTAGTTAACTTAATTAATATAATTTAAAATATTAATAACTAAGTAAATTAATTAAATAATTAATAGTATAATTAGTGTATAAATTAATTATCTAATTTAACTTAATTAAATAGTTAATACTATATTTAGTAATTAAAAATTAGTATAATTATCTTAATTAATATAATTTAAAACATACATTATTAAACATATAATTAATAATATGAATACTAATTAAATAATTAATGAGCAGTATAATTCTTAAGTGATTAATGAAATAATTAATAATAAAATTTATAATTAAAACTA